TTTATTACAGTAATTTCTTAATTAGTGAAACAGCCTTATTAACATTTTAAATCTCTTATTTTTAATATTTTCTAGTTTTGCGGAGGAGATTCAGCTCTGGCAATGAGTTGTCTATACAATAACTAGTTTGTTAGGCGCTGGCATAGTCGACTATACGTTATTTTTTAAAAATTTTAATATTTCATACATGCATTATTAATCTCCTTGTTATCTAATTTATCCTAAAATAAGTTAAGATTGAGAAAGGCGGAGGCATTCGGAAATAATCTGAGTGGTAGCATGTGATAACAAGAGTTTGGATTCTCAGTGGCTCTCTCTCTCTCTTCCGAAGGCAAACTGATGGCAGTTCTTTAGCATGTTGTGCCAGCACCAATTTACCATCATTACGAATGGACGTACAAGGACTAATTTTCCCACAGGTGGAGTTCAACTCTCGTTATTAGTAGCTGGCAGAGAGCCGACTTTTTGTTTGGAAGAGGCAACCAAGCATCCTTCACTTAATCACTTTTTTCACTACAGCGAGCGCTCGTTTTTCAACTTTCGTCAGTGACCACGTTCTACATTCGTACGACAGCACAGTAGAATTGAAAATATGGGCAAGGTCTTTCTGATTCGACATTCTGAGGACATGGACGATGCCATGAATGTTATAACCATATAAATTAGATTAATTTAAATATCTATTTTCTTTATACTTCATTAACTGCAAAACATATGATGATGCAAGCTAAAAAATAAAATAGTGGCCCGTCGTTGGACTTGCTTAGCCCGTCGTTGGACTATGGATGAGTGGTTACATCTGCAAATCGGACGATTATGATAGTAGCAAAATTGCATAAGTTTTGTTCTTAAGTTACATAAGTTTTCTCTAAGTTTTGTTCTATTTGCAGATAGCAAAAGCAGTGAGACAAGTGACGAATATCATGGAAATAGCCGCTCGCCTCCTTCATTTCCTCCACCTCAAATGCCCTCGCTGCCTCCAATGCCTTATCCATACCCATATTCACCAATGTCAATGCCGATGATGCCAGTGCCAATCCCCATGCCTATGCCGCCTGTGCCTATGCCTATGCCAATGCCTCCGCCTGCACCTCTTGGAGTTGACATGGGTGGTCCACCTGGTGGTGGTGGACAAGGAAACGGTGGTATGGGTGGTGGCGGTTTTGGCGGTAGTATGGGTGGTGGTGGTTTTGGCGGTGGTATGGGTGGTGGTGGTTTTGGCGGTGGCATGGGTGGCGGTGTACCACAAGGTGGTGGTGCACCACAAGGCGGTGATAATGGTGGAGGTGCACCACAGAGCGGTGGTAATGGTGGTGGTGCGCCACAGGGCGGTGGTCAGCCACCCAGTGGTGGAGGCCAAGGTGGTGGTCGACGAGGTGGTTGCAGAGTGTTTATGGACTGTAGCTAGTCTGTTTAAAGCTAAACTGTTTGTGCTATTATCTTTGAATAAAATTTCTTTCAACTGCGGCCATTCAAAGCACTGCAAAAGAGAGAACAAAAAT